CATGGTCATTAGTATGGTGATCAACCTTCAGTTGCTGGTGATCTATATCCCGTTCTTATATTGTACTGTTGTCTCTTGTGATATATTATTTGTGATTGCGTACTAGTTTTAAATTAAGAGCTGTGATACTCTAGTAGTTTTACTGTCCTTCTATGATAGGTTTTACGTTATACATTTTTTGATTTGACTATTGATATCAACTGTTCTCATCACAATATGGCTGCAATATTGCCGATGTGACGTTAAATTTTTTAACTCAGTCACTCACGCTTCCTTTTTATCGCTTGATGTGTTCTTGTAGAGTTCTTTTTAATACTTATATATTGCTTCGTATTGACTTTCAAGACGTGATAAGGTTCGCGCCCACTGTACACGTATCGTAACTGACTACATCCATCAAAACATTATATGAATTTCCACTTGGCTTGCCACATCGGCGTTTCGAAGTTTTGCTGAAATATTTTTACTATAAATTGCTCTAATTCAGTGTCACCATGTCCTAATGTTGTAGACCCGTGAAGATCTAGGTTACAATATTGATCTTCAGTAACCCATGCTTGTCGTAAGAGACAACTAACAGGATTGGGTGGACAGGCTCGCTGACTTGGTTGACACATGTCATCGGTACCTAATTGGGTAGATCGATGCTCATGCTGTTGATCACTGGGTTGTCTCGTCCAGACTCGATTATTTACAGACCGCCACCATATAGCTGGAATATTGCTGAGTGCGGCGTAAAACTCAACTCACTCACTCACTCACTCCTAATGTTGTATGTCTCATATGTATAATGTAGGATGCAGCCGTGGCTGCTTATCCAAGGTGAATATGCAAACCTATATTTGTAAAATCATTTAAAGAAGGAAAACCAGAACAGGAAAACTTATGACCCCTACCATTTCACTTTCTGATATAATCATATTTCTGAGAGAATGTTTATCTTTTTATGTTGCTTATCTTTGAATACTAGGTCTATTCAACAGTTTCATCTCCAATGGCAGGTGCATTTCAATGTATACGAGCAGCGGTATCAACTGACTATGAATCGCTGCCCCTCAGTAACCACAAAGAGGACTTCGTTTCAAAGGGGATTTGAGCCATGCTTGACTGAACACTACACGAGTTGCTGGTAGTTTCCCATGACATATGACATGCAGTTCAATAGCAATAACGTGTACAGCAACGTCATACTGTGCTCAGCGACTGGTACTCGTGCTGTTTTAAACTTAGTGTAAGGCAAGTGTTTAAATATTGCCTCAAACCGACCGACCACGAAATATTCTGGAAGGAATCTGATAATTTGGTTAGAAAAATGTTTTTGCTCTTCAAGAAAGATACCTGTGAAATAATGAGCAGACGACAATGTCAATCCATTTTGATCAAAACATCTTTATGCAGTCTGTTCAGAAATAATAGTGTTTATCGAAGTAAATCGTTTATATGTTAAATTTAAACGGACTGTTCTCTGAAAATCAGTGATCACACCAGATCGCGAAAGGGTTTTAAGTTATCCAGATTGTTTCGTTTTGAGATCAGAAAGACGAGATTATGTATTGTAAACTTGATAAAGAATGACAACCCTAAATGGAATTCAAACTTCCTGACATAAGCTATTTAAGTACAAAAAAGCGGCCGTATTTACCTGTTGCTCTCAATATCGGAACTCCTCAATCATACTATACTTAGAAATGAGCTGAAAGTATGTTACTGCGTCGCAGCTCTGTGTCAGCTAAACCCCATGTGGGGTAGTTACACAGCAGTGTTTACGTCACTACAGGTGCGCCTGGTGTTAATAACAATATAGCACTTGGTGGTAATGGGGCGTGGTGGGTGTACTGGCGCCAGGCTAGTAATCCAGCGAGCTTTAGGTGTCGGGATCGAGCCCACCTCTGACCGGGTGTAAAAACCTTGGAGTCAACTTTGTGTGCAGACTCCTTTAGCGTTGTCAAAACCCCTAGTGTACAGTACACAACCCTGAAGGTAGATCACTGTTACATATTTAATCGATTATACATATTTACTGTAACAGTGTAGTGTAGTGTAGTGTGAAGGAGGTAGTGACTAGGAAGGTGAAAGGCAAATATCGCAGCGACAGGTACTCGTGCTGTTTTAAACTTAGTGTAATGCAAATGGTAGGGACCGACCACGAAATATTCTGGAAGGAATCTGATAATTTGGTTAGAAAAATGTTTTTGCTCTTCAAGAAAGATACCTGTGAAATAATGAGCAGACGGCAATGTCAATCCATTTTGATCAAAACATCTTCTTGCAGTCTGTTCAGAAATTATAGTTTTTATCGAAGTAAATCGTTTATATGTTAAATTTAAATGGACGGTTCTCTGAAAATCAGTGATCACACCAGATCGCGAAAGGGTTTTAAGTTATCCAGATTATAACTTTTTGAGATTAGAAAGACGAGATTATGTATTGTAAACTTGATAAAGAATGACAACCCTAAATGGAATTCAAACTTCCTGACATACGCTATTAGAGTACAAAAAAGCGGCCGTATTTATCTGTTGCTCTCAATATCGGAACTCCTCAATCATACTATACTTAGAAATGAGCTGAAAGTATGTTACTGCGTCGCAGCTCTGTGTCAGCTAAACCCCATGTGGGGTAGTTACACAGCAGTGTTTACGTCACTACAGGTGCGCCTGATGTTAATAACAATATTGCACTTGGTGGTAATGGGGCGTGGTGGGTGAACTGGCGCCAGGCTAGTGATCCAGCGAGCTTTAGGTGTCGGGATCGAGCCCACCTCTGACCGAGTGTAAAAACCTTGGAGTCAACTTTGTGTGCAGACTCCTTTAGCGTTGTCAAAATCCCTACTGTAACCCTGTTGACTTAAAAGAACCCATGAGTCCGTTGGTAAATGACCAGCTGGTGGCCACATAAATACAGGAAAACACCTAGTTGCGGGTACAGCAACGTGCAGTGAACTTGGAAAAGGTACTGTGACTATGTTTCCCAGTCCACCCAGCTGTGATCGTAAGGATGGGAAGCGCCAAGTAGCTGCAATAGTTGTATGGTCACCAAGGTGTTGAGTTTAATAATATTAAGTGTCGTTAAGATTGACACCCAATGAACGAAGGAAAAACAAGTAGTATCGTTTTCCTACGGCTGCAGTACAATCAAATGTGATCACCGTGGCGTATAACTCTACACCGGTTAGAGTTTTACCAATCCTACAACCTTCAAGCCCTCCACATTGACGTCCAGAGTCGGCAGTAGTCAAAAATACCCTGATCAAAAACCTACACCTTTCCTAACTCGCTTCGTTATATGCATTATTGTACGTCACTGACTGGTACCTGAATGCATATTCCATAGACCCAGCTGGCCTTAATGTTACATATAGTGAGTGAGTTAAAATATTTCGTCACATCGGCAATATTTCAGCCATATCGTGACGAAAACAATTTACTATCATATTATGAATAAAATTATAAATTAATAGTCTGTTGTCGAAGAACAGTAAAACTACTAGTATATCAAAGACATTAAAGTAAAACTAGCATGCTATCATTAAACGATTATTATTAAATAGAACAATACAATATAAAAATGGGCTATTGCTTGCCAACAACTGAAGTAAGATCACCATAATCTTACATATAACTGATATGTAACAGGAAGTAACAAGCTGCTAAATCGTGAACCATTACTTGCTTCAAATCATCCAGACCAGATGGTAAATACAAAACTCATTCAAATCATGTAAATTTAAATAATGTACATATTTTACATATATTCATATGAAGTATTTTGGGCTAATCAAGATATCATGTACTATGTTGTCAGATACATATTTACTGAGATCATGATCTGATACAGGTATAGTTATCATATGATCAAGAGTTTACAACAACTGAGAGAAGGCTTATAGAGTGAACAAATCTTTGTTTATATGTCATTCTTGATCAGATCTTCATTTCAGTAAATATGTACAATGAATAAGTGTACTTTTCAGTTAATATGTAAATTTCCTGAAAATGTCAGTAAATATACATAATCCCTGACGGAATCAGTAAATATACATAATCACTGAAAAAATCAGTAAATGTAATATTTACTGATTATACATATTACTGTAACAGTGTAGTGTAGTGTGGCGGATGTAGTGACCAGGAAGGTGAAAGGCAAATATCGCAACGAAACAGGTGTAGTAAGCTGGAATTTACATGGAAATCAAAGGCAGATGTCCCAAACATTGTATCATGTTATTTCTAGGTATAAAACATCAATATAGAACCAGTTGGTGGAGGAGTGGATCATAAGCTGATGGAATGAAGTATCCTTGGTCACGGTTTATGGTGGGCTTATGGCGTTTTGATGTGAATGGCTTCGGTGAGCTTGCGTTTAGTGAAGTCCGTTAGGTTGTTGGCGAGAATGGTGATGTCGGACCACTCTGTTCGATGATTGGGGTTTTCTTTGATGTGTTCAGAGATGGCTGATTTGGCGTCGGAATTGGAAACCGAGGTGCGATGTTCTTTGACTCGGGCGTTGATGGGTCAGGATGTTTCACCTATGTAGCTTTGTCCACAATCACAGTTTATTTTATAAATAACACATTTCATCAGCTTATGATCAGTCCTCCACCAAGCCCAATCTATTGTATAAACATCGCACCTATTGTATAAACATCTCTTGTAACTACTCCTGTATTTATACATCTCTGGCTTCCATTCACTATCCTTTATTGTACTCACTGGCTTCACCAGCTTACTGTAGCCAATTATGGCAATTATGTTGTTTCCTTTGTCTATTATGTTGTTTCATTGTTATATACAGTATAAATATGCAGCTCCTACACTTCATGTATCCTCCTGCTTGACAACGGTACAAGAATCTGTATCGAAACGTCGCACTCACGAAATAAAAAGTTGTTATCCATAAAACTTGTTCTATATTGTACGTCTCAACTTCTAAAATGCCACTCAAACAAGATATAAAACATGAACTAAACTATTAGTGACATTGAAGTATCATATATTTACCTGTCACTCTCAGCAGCAGGTGGATCTGGAAATATTTCAAAACAGCTTCGCTTTACTGGGTGCAGTACAGAACGATCTGGATACTTCAAGCTGGTAGTTACACAACATTGCATACATTACATTATTTATACATTATGTACCCGGGCGTATTGTCGGGAACTGCTCGACTGTGTCGTTATGAAGGTTGTAGCACGTTGCAGTCTCGTGTGACTAAGCTCAGTCAAGGGTAAACAACAAACATCGTTGCTGCCTGAGAATACTGGCTGGCCGCCATCTTCCTTCTGATGGGGCGCTGACTCCTGTGTGTTAAGAATGAATACTTGCAAGGGTATATATGTCAAGTTGTTTACGGTTTTTAATGTGAATTGTTATAAAGTAGAAAGAAACACCTTATTTCGAAATAAGAGTAGTACAGTCCAAAGTAGGTCACACCAATTAATATGAATGGAGATAGGGATTTACAAAATATGATCATGTGTATATTTGTAATACAAAGAGGCACTCGTGAAGAGCTACCTCCGCGTGAGGACCTGGGCAGAATGTATCCACAATACCCCATAGCTGATAGTAAGAGGCGACCGTATTGGGCAAACGGTTTGCCGTGAGTTGCGGCCCCTGTATCTGTGGATGAAGGGATTCAGATGGTTGAGGGCACAGGTTCCAGGACGAGAGTTCCTTTGTCCAATACACCACTTCGACCCGGATTTCACCAAGACGGGTGGTAGAATTAATTGGGCCCGGTTCCATCAATCGGCTGGGTACACTGAGCCCTGTGCATGGTAAGTATTTTTGCACACATTAGATTCTTAAAAATGTATCGTTTGGACTTGGCTTCAAAACTTATTGCTAAAAGCACAAAGTATTTATTTTTCAATTTACCTAGAGTACTATGCCCAGACGGCGGTGGCCCATGAGCCAATCTGGTAGGTCATGTTTTTTTTTTAGATATTTGCATCCTTGAGTATACCCTCCTGGTATACCTTGTGTCGTCTGTTAAAGACCCATGAGACATCGTCCTTGTGTGGGGAGCTAGGAGAGTGAATCTGATATGTTTCTACCATGGCGCCCCCACTCAAAAAACGTTCTCATGAATCTGATGAATTGTCTCGTCGGCAGATGTGACTACCGCAGCCCTCATCAATACCGATAACTTCATTGTCCTGGCGTCACCGGATGTTCTTTACTATAGCAAAGGGTATAGACGGTTTGGCTGGTGAAGTAAAGGAAGTAAAAAAACTACGATCTTGTTCTCTGTTGATCCAGTGCTGGAAAAGATCCAATCTCAGGTTCTCCTCACAACAAAATTATTAGCCAATGTTCCTGTTGAGGTTTCCCTTCGCAGGACATAACAGAGCAGTAAAGGCATCATCCGTGTTATAGGGCGTTGCCTTTCAGATATGGCTGAGGTTGACATCATTACAGAATTAAGGTCCCAAGGAGTTACTGATGACGAACGTTTCACTGCTAAAAAGAATGATGCTGTCACAAACACTAATAGTGTGACTTACATTACAAATTGCCTTTACTCCCTGTTCATTGTATATTCCATCTTCACCTGTTATCTTGTTAACTGATCTACAAGCTCTTTATGATCAACTACCTAAACTCTGTTTCATCGTGGGGGATTTAAATGGCCATAGCACACTCTGGGGTGGTTGTACAAACACTGAAGGAGGTTGCAAGTTTTTTTAAAGTCTCTAGCACCATATCGATATTCCTAGCACCATATCGATGATATGGACCACAGGAATCAACACGTGACCTTTCTAGATCCGGTAGACCATGAGTCACCACTCCTGCCCAAGACCGCCACATCCGGTTGCGCCATCTGCGCCATCTACGCCAAACAACGACAAATGCTGCCTCCACTTCATCTACAGCACTGGAACTGCGCAACATCTCAGACCAGACTGTCCGGAACCGTCTATGAGAGTCAGGGTTGCGACCAAGAAGTCCTGTTAGAGGCGTGATTTTCTACAGCCAGCATCGCCAGCTACGACTGCAATGGTGGCACAGGGTACGGCCTCAGGGACGATGGAGACAGTATGGTTCAGCGATGAATCCCGATTCATGCTCTGCAGACAGGATGGTAGGGTCCGTATCTACCGCCGAAGGGGTGAACTCTTCACAACATATTGCATACAGGAAGTGGACAGATTTGGTGAAGAAAGTGACAAGATGTGGGCAGTCATCTCTCACAACGCCAGGAGTAGTGGTAGGACCCTAACTGCTGGCGCACCCTTAACCATGTAATCTTGCAAAGAGATCAGGTAGCCTCCCTGAAGTCGAGAGAAAGTAACCTGGTTTCACTGCTAAAATATATTGAAAAGTCGTCCGGTTGTATAATGGGACCAACGCACATGAATGTAAACTTATGGGGCGAAATAAACAACGACAATATACAACTTCTATACACAACATTTAATAAGCCCGTAAATCTTAATAACAGCAGATGCCAAAGCTACTTTCACGATACATCACATCATAACATTAGCCTTTATATACATGTCGGCTTACAATTTCAAACTATAATTCCCACCTGCTCGTTATCATTTGTCCACAGTATAACACATTCCATATAATCCATCGACAAACAGCATGGTATATTCTAAATATTCCATGAGATCAACAGTCACATTTTTTCACAACGTCACGTAAACATGCCTTGTCATGTAAACAGAGCTCTCATTGTCGTATGGATTCGTAGCAGGTTAACAAGTCCTCCAAATAGAATAGAACACTGTCCTAGGTTCATACACAGTTTTACACATAGTGTTATATCCATCCACTGGTATCTGATGATATATTTCGTGTTGCAATGGCTTGTGTTTAATGCAGTCTTAGCCTATGCCCACACGCCTCACGACCTTCAAAAGACATGGCCCGTAAAACTAGGTCAGTGTGTTATCGGACCGGTCTTTCAAATCATTTGGCAGAGCTGCAAAGCTAACCATGCTTTAAAAATCGTAACCACTAAGTTTTACAGTCATTTACAAGTGTAATCATGACATTACATTTAATGATAGTTGCATCAGCATTTCTTGAAATTATGTTTTATGCACTGACATTTGGTTGTGTATCTTCAATAGCAAACACTTAAATTAAAAATTAGTTATGAATTAACAATTAAGTCTATGAAACATTCGTGTGAACGAGAAGATGTTTATAATTTAAAAATCATTAATATAATTGGAAATAAGACGTGAATTCAGAAAGGAAATGAATAGATAACGATTAATGAAAACACAGAGTTTAGTTTTACGCCGCACTTAGCAATATTCCAGCTATATGGTGGCGGTCTGTAAATAATCGAGTCTCGACCAGACAAGACCAGACCAGACAATCCAGTATCCAACAGCATGAGCATCGATCTACGCAACTCGGAACCGATGACATGTGTCAGCCAGGTCTACCTTGAGTAAAAAGCCAGGGTTTTTTTAAAGTCAGAATTCAGAAACTTGTCACGAGATTTTTATTTATATTATTGTTCTATGTATGCTTTAAAAGATCAAACGTCACCATAGATATATAATCCGTTTGTATCACGTAATGTTGTCAATAGATTATGTTCCCATAAAGCTAATTATAAAACAGACCAGACCACGCCTATTAGACTGACGTTTCCATAATACATGACGCGTGGCTTATGGTCGATTTATTGCACTGATCAATGCCATGTAATTCGTGTGGCTGTTTACAGTTATTAAAGTAACAAATTACATAAAAGGCCTGTGAAAATATTATTGTTGACTTTGTCAAAAGAACTGGCTGCAATATTAGTTCCATGGTGGTATAAGCATATAGAAACTGGTTTGCACATTTATGTTTCGTTTATTTGTTGTTTTACGCCACACTCAGCAATATGGCGGCGGTCTGTAAATAATCGAGCCTGGACCAGAAAATCCAGTAATCAACATCAAGAGTACTGATCTGCGCAATCGGGATACGATGACATGTGTCAACCAAGCCAGTGAGCCTGACCACCCGATCCCGTTAGTTGCCTCTTACGACAAGCTGTAACCCTACCCAGCCATTGTACATTATCCCTTGTGTCCATCACCTCACTACTGGCTTCCTAACAGTACCTTATCACTAATGTATACACCTATGTACATCATCCCCTACTGGCTGCCAATCAACATCCTTGATCCCTTATGTATACAACCATGTACTTCCATCAACTTGCTTCCATCAACCTACTTAATCCTGTATACTATCTGTGTTATCAACCTCTTCTATTGTATAAACAACTCATTTTCGCCCTATGCTTCATCTACTGTCCATAACATCTCATGTATATATATATCACCCAAAATTACTTCTCATGTATCACTTGCTTGACAACGACATTAGAATATATATAAAGAAGTTGTATATCCATAAAAATAGTCCTCATCCTTCATCTACCCAACTTCTAGAATGCCAATCAAAGAAGATATTTATGCTTAACTGCGGCATGGTATCTCAGTGGGCTAGCACTATAACACCAGTTTAAATCTCGGCTGGTACAAGCAGCCACACATACACACGACGTTAAACCCATTTCACCTCACCTCACTGTCTCTTTGGTGGCGTACCTTCTGTTGCTGGTGATCTCCAGCCCGTTTTCATATTTTATTGTCCATAAACGTTTGTCGAATTTAACAGTTACGTATAAGTTTTAATTCTATATATGTGATAATGTAATTATTCTACTGCCCTTCGTTGGCAGGATTTTATAATTCAATTGTGTTTTCGCTGACTTCTATCCCGACAACCATTAAAACAGGCTACTTCAAAGGTGTATGTCCCCAGTCCATTGTGTTACAATTGTGAAAAGTTTGGACAAGGTTCCACATTCTTCAGTCGTCCGTGTGCCATCGTTGTGGATGCAATCATAAAGGCTCTAGTTGTAGAGCAGACCTAAACTGTGTTGATTGTAACGGTCAACATGAAGCATTTTCAAATCATGTCCTTCGTGGAGATATGAAAAGGGTCGTTTTACTATGAAATGTCTCAACAATATCTTTTCAAGACGCCCTTAACACAAATATCGAAAGCAATCGACCTTTCAGTATCATGAGTTAGTCACGATCTGATTGAAATACTGCCAATGTGACTAAAAACCATGCCTCACTCACTCACTTATGTAAATTTGGAATTATCCGAAAAGGCCTGATACGAACATTTC